TCACCCACTGTATTTACTCAATGTTATAGAGGAATGTAGTATATCAACACTAAGGAATATAATCTCAATGGCTGTAAATTAACACTTGAATTAATGTGGTCTTTTCACCATGACCCACCTCTTCATTCTCATACATAACCCTACGTGAAGAGAAGGGTGAAGGCTCAGGTTTCCCAAAGTCACACACATCCTTCAGTGAATGAGCAGCCCCTTCCTCCTCTTCCTCTTCAAGAGAATGATCCTCAGCCCCCTCGTCATCTTCAGCCGTCACCCGCTCAAGGATTGAGTGGACTGCAGTGGGGTTCATCTTCAGCACAACCCTGCTCAGAAATATTTAACACCACTATGAGAAAAGCCTGAGCGGACAGATCAGTTTGAGGTTGGTTTGATGAACTTACCTTGGCCAGTCAAACTTTGCACTCTCAGATGTTGTCATGTCTCCGTCCATGGTGTGGGACACCCTGAGAAACCGTGTACCTGGTTGATCTGGCTCATCATGGAACTTCCCTGTTGAAATGGAGAAAAATATTAAGCAATTAAATGCCTATGGTCAAATTTTTTTCCCAGAGGTCAGTTTTGAAACTTTTCTTTAGGATCACATACCAGTGAGCTCTCTAAATGTGAGCTCCATCTTGGTTTGGTCAGGAGAACTGCCGCCCATGAACTCCGTTTTCACTTCCAGGTCTTCCAGCTCCAGGTAAAGTACCTCCTTCTGCAGGGACTTCTTGAACCAAGGGCCCCTTTCCTGATCTGAGCGGAGGTCAGGAATAGGAAAGCGAACCGAGAGGCCCAGGACTGGGGCACTGACCCTCAGTGATACATGACAATTAGTTGGAGTGTGACCATCATCAAGGAAAACCTCTGTAAAGGCCTTGTGCTGTGAAATTAGTTTAGAGAGACAAAGACCTTCACAGTGTTGTAGAGCATATTAATATTTAAGCTAAGTTTAAGGTGATCAGGTGTTACAATCCTCTCCTGTGTTAGTCACACAAATTATTTTAATCTTTGGTTTATAATTTCTGGTACTTGCTTACCAAGCTAACATGTTTATTATAGGATGTGTACATATGGGAAGCCATCATCTCCGTGGTGGCCAGCTTCTGCGGTTGTAGCACTGAGTTGAGACGATCTACAATGCTGATGTCCAGCTCAGAGCGCACAGCTCCCAACTCCACCTGGATCTCTGCTTTCCTGGGAATGGTACTAAGGCGAACCTGGCCGCCCTGCTCAGAGAAGCAAAGGGGTGACTGAGTACATGCCAGACAGTAATGCAGGAAAAGCATCTGATCATGAAGCGTTAGTACTGTGGCTTTATATTAGACTAACAAATGCTGTTACCTGAGGCCCTCTACGCTCAGCCTGTTTGTAAAGCAGGTGAAGGCAGGTGGCAAGCGGCATGTCAGCATTGGCTGTGGTGTCAAATGTCAGGAGCTGAGGTGTAACACAGAAACTAGTGAGAAACACTCATAATGTCATGCCAGCTACATCTTTCAGGTGTACTGAAAGTACATGCAATGTTTAACCAACCAAAGCACAGTGCAGTGCAAATTGTGCTTGTCTCACGCTTGAAACTAACCTCAGTGTACTGAATGCCTCTTTGGGAGCCATTAATGGCAGTTTCAGAAGGAAAGAGGCACTCCAGAAACTCCATCTGGTTAAGGGAGATGTCAGTGGTAAAAGTCCGCAGGCTGGATCCCTGACAATGCTCATAGTTTATCTTCAGACCCTGACCCACAAACCTGAAGATATAAGCCCAGGACAGACACTCAAATCATAAATCTATTCTGTGGTAAGCAAGATAACAAGTACAACCCTGCTGAGCAGAAATGAGTGCAAGATAAAAGTGCACCTAAGGTGGTCGTAGGGACAAGCCTGATTAAACACTGTCTGAGACTGAAGGAAGGCATCTGGGGCAAGCTGGCCTGGGCCCACCATGCTGAAGAAGTGTGCAGCCATGGGGCCAAGGGGACTGGGAGCAGCATCAGGAGGTGGCAGCGGGTCAATGTGGAGGACTGAGACTGCCAGGCTGCCAAATGTCAGCCTTAACACCAGCTCTGGCCTTGACTCATCACCGTGAGTTTTGGATGAATGGGCTGAAATACAACAACAAATATTTGGTTTGGCAATGTCCACATAAAACAGAAGCTCAAGAGATTGTAGATTTGCGATAAACAAAACACTTTATCACTGAATTCACTGGTTACCACACATTCAACTGTAGTGGAGTAGTTTATAAGGGAGATATGCTGAGGTAATCTTTGGCTGGAATGTAAATGTGCACATTCTTTTCCCAAGGGAGATATGCTGAGGTAATCTTTGGGTGGAATGTAAATGTGCACATTCTTTGCCATTTCTAATATGGCCACAAAGGGACTGGTACAGTATTTATTGTACAAATGCACTGATATATTGTGATACTTACAAGTCTGTCGCAGTAATTTTTGAGGGAGTTGAGAATCCCGTGACTGAACAGGAGTTTCACTAGTTTTCTTCTCTCTTTGTCTTGGTACATCCATGTAATCATCCCACAGAGCCTATAAATATACATACTCAGGTGATGCAAGGTAATGAGTACAGCAATTCATCTGTCCATATACCGTAAATGCCTCCTAAATTTGTGTGTGTAAAAATTTAATGGCAGTGTACTGCAACTCACTGAGAATTTCCAGATCTAACCAGATAGCAGAATTCATACACTAATCTAAATTATACATCAATGTGCATCCATGACTTTAAGACTCACTGTTGTGTTTCCAGAAGGCGATTCTACTGGGGAGGCAGAGTAGTTGCTATTGAGTGACAAGTCCAAATCAACAGTGGGTGGTTCACCCAGAGGAGGGAGGGATGACAAGCTGTGAGACATGTCCATGTCGGCCATGGAGAAGAACACATCATCTACACAAACCACAGGTTTAAAATAAATAAAGAAAAGCACAAAGAAAAGAATTTTCATTAGTTAGATGCACTGTATGAAACTTATGCAAGAAATGATGGGGTTAGAGGTTTTACTTTAACCTCGACTAGACACAGTTCTGGTGGTTTGGCTCTCAAAGAGGTCAGGGTCTGTTCCTGGGCCAGCAGTATCCTTCTTCAGACAGCGATTCAGCTCCATATGGAGCCGATACTCATCCTCTTGCTGCATGGGTCGATTCTTTCTGTCCTTAGCCCAATCCTGAGCACCTTCACATTAAGAAAGGGGAAATACTCTATTTATTCAATTTTTAAATAACTAGTTTGGTGACATTTTTACCACGATTGATCAAAACGTTCTTTATCATCAATCAACAGATGGGTGCTTACCTCCACCAGAGAAAGCTCCAAACAAATCGAGAAGAAGATGAACTTGTCGTGGGGACAGCAGAATAATCAGTGTGTCAATATGTCCAACAACATCCAGCTAAAAAGAAAAGGATGTCAAACAGTCTGATTATTGACATTACTCCTTGTGTGTAATACTAACTAAATATGTATACAGTAATTAGGGACATTTTTCTGTACTTTGTAATTAAGACACTGCTCCCTTACCTTTGCTCCAGGCAGAGTTAAGTTGTTTTTCAGAGTGAGTGACAACTCAATATTACCACCGAGGCTCCCAACCTGCACAGGTTCAAATGGTGTTGTAGAAGACACAGGCTCTGTGAACTGGGGATGAGGCTCACATATTATTTTGGGATTCCAACTAGGGGAGAGCTTTGGCTCAGTTTCCTGCAAAATAAGAGAAACTTATTTTAAAAGGTCTGTACATACAACTGTTTTATGCCAAATTTCAAAGACACACTATACCAACCGTCGGAGTGGGTGAAGATTTAAATCCAGCTCGGGACACATCTGAAAACTCGTCCCAAAATATGGCGATTCCTTCCAACTGCAGGTTTTTATGTGCAAACGTGGTTGGCTGATGTACATCTACACTTGAACTCTCCCCACCCGTTTCATCGCAGTAAACAATCCTGAAAGCAACCACAGTTAGCTTGACAAGAAATAACAGGGAAAACTAATGCATCAACAACTGACTTGCACTATACAGTATGTACTACATATTAGGATCTGCCACACATTTAGCTGCAGCCCTTTTTAGCACCCAAGTCTTCACATCTTTTCCTTTGTGACAGATTTTAAAGAAAAGGAAATCAAAACACAATTGTGCATTTTACCTGGATTCAATTATGTGGTGTTGAAAAATGTTTCTAATATTATGGAAAGCCAACTGTTGACCCACTGACTGCTCAAACTTACTTGTTGATTCGTATCTCAAGGGCAATTCCAGTTTTAGAATTTTCTGGAATGTGTTCGACTCTGAGAACAGTGTCCAAAAATGTCACTTTAACTCTTCTCAGAACTGCAAGAAGGAAATTTAAAATAACTCAGTTTATGCAACACAAACCAAGTAAACATCTTAAAATGTTGCCTAACATTATGATCACAGTACCTGTCTCTATTGTTTCTGCAAATTTCTCCAGTCCATCAAAAGGCTGGAAGCTCTCTCCTATATCGTCAGTGAGTTTCTGACTCAGGCATTCTTTGGCAAGCTGCATGCTGCTTGTCATGAAACTGGACCAGCACATCGGCTCAATGCCAGATGCTGGAAAAGAGCCAGAAGTGAAAGAGATGTTTGCTTTTCAGTAAAATTAATTGTTAACTTCATATAACAACATGTAACAAAAAAAAAGACATTTTTAATAAATCTTTTCCATCTATGTAAATCATTATTATAGATGGTGCTGTAGAGACCTTACCCACTCTTGGTCTTGGTCTGAGCACCATCTCCAAACCCTTGACCTCCAGGGCACAGTTTTCCTGCAGCAGGGCTGCCCATGGCACAGTTAAAGAAATTGTCTGGATGAACCCAGTGATTACTTCAAAAGGAGCATCAGCAGTTTCTAGAAGCTCATTGAGGGACTAAGAAACAAGAAATAATGCTGAAATGTTCTCTGCAGATTTTGTGTTTAAATTACATAAATGCATCTGTTGTATTTCCTTCTACATATAGTACATACCCATTTATCCAGTGGCACTTGTGCAAGTGAGCCAGTGCCTTGATAGAGGTCTAAACTGAGCTGATCCAAGCTCAGCTTCTCCTGCAGAAAATTGCCAAGGTATCGGTGCAAGAGGTATCTGCAGGCCCGCTTCTTGATGGACTCCGAAAATGGCCAAGGCATCTTACACTCAACAGGTGTACAGTACAAAGGTAATGAAAGGGATCTTTAGGCTCTACAACCAGAATATTATAGCTACTCACACAGCTATGAATGTATCACTGGTGATACAGTTGTGTCATCCTGTTGACTTAAAGACATCGAAAAATCGTGAGCTCAAACATCCTTCATATCCCAACACAGGGGACACTGTGGAGGATGTGCTGACACTCAAGGATGTGTGTGGGTATTGGTCCGACTCCAGTTTGCTGCGCCTACAGAAGACAAAGATCCCCCCCTTTGTAATTTTCACTTGTCACAAAATGAGACAAACATAAAATGTCTACACAATACAGCCAAAAACAAGCACATAAATTGTCTAGTGTTATTCTCAGCGCACATTTGCCCTCATTAAAGCAAGTACAAACTAGCCAAACGCACCTGTGAAATAAATCTTGACATGCCTGACTTACTAGTCAATAGCTACCCGTAGCTAAGCAGAGCTGTCACAAGCTGCTAGCTAAACAAGGGCATGTAAGCTAACTAGCCGGTTAGCAAGTGTGATGCTAACGCTATTAGCTGTCCTCCGATCCGTTCCTATCGGCAGAGTGAGGCAACATTAGCATAGCCGGCTAAGGTTGTAGCTGTACTTTCTTGCTAGTTAGCTAGCTAACTAACCAAAGAGCCAATATTTCCCAAGTTATCAACCCTAACATGACATATGCATAATGTCAAAACATTGTATAAACATATACATCAGTTCTATATGCCAACTTGCATGGCTTCGTAAGCAAAGCTGACTATATTGCTGCAGCTCTTGAATTACCTTGTTTCTGAGTTGTTTACAAACACTTTCATGACTCCGCACCAACTGAGCCTACACAGTCCGGGCGGGACTATCCAGTGATGTCATAATATCGCGAAACTGTGTAGCGCATGATGGGACAAAATTTCTTTTAGGTAACTAGTTGTTTAGGCACAAAGCAAATTAAGTAGAAGCAGGGTGCAAAGTGCGTTTTTCATCTGGCTGCCCTTAACTCAGAGCCTCAGTACTGTTATCTGTTTAAGGTGACTTTCATTTGGCTGAACCTTGCCCAGAGAGCTCAGAGTAGGCTAGAAGCTTCCACAAGCCGGAAGAACACATCTAGAGAAGAGGTGAGAAAAATGAACGCAGTTTGTTTAGAAATTTGTCCTAACATAATAGATCAAACGTATGATTTTCGATTTCAATTTTATGTTAACATTTCAGAATATAAACAAAGTGAGTGGCCTACATATCATTTTCGCTATGGTTAACCAGAGGGATAGCTACTTCTGTAGTTGACCGTTAACGTTAACTTCACCTTACCCCGCAATGTAGCAAGTGTTGGCATCTACGTTAAGCTAGTTATATCAGTCTAGCAAAGTATATAAATTAGCCGAATTATAACATTTGCGTGAAAATGACACTTTGATTTAGTACTAACAATAATGTTTGTAATAACTGCATACCTCAGCTACCTATACAAAAGGGCTATTGAGTGTCTTTAAGATGACGATAGTTTTAATTGGAGGAATTAACATGAAACGCTAACGTTAGTTGTAACGTTATTACATGGGCTGCGGACTGTAATGCATGTACAGTACAATACTGTCGGTGATAGAAAGTAGCTAAGTATAAATCTAGTACTGCATTTCAGCGCAAAGTACTTGAGTATTTTTATATCTGTTTATTTACAACCTACTTCTCCACTAGATTTCAGAGGGAAATATAGTGTTTTAACGTTACCCGTTTGCCTGACGTTGAGCTCCACCGTCGACCAGCTACAACAATGACATGCTATATATACATTAATACAGCTGTTATAATATTCCTGTAATACATGTATACAATGCTCACAGAGGCCATTTCTGTATGAGTCTTAAGCTGACTTGATCACCAGCCAGAAAACCCTGCAAAACAGAACATTTAAGCCTGTTGATATAGATATTCATTACCAGCTGTGTTAAGTAACAGTTGCTGTATCTTTCACAGTGGATAGTGAAATGGAAGGTCTCACTGCCCATAAAGACATCCAGAATGAATAATAATGACCCCAGATGTGGAGCAACAGGCTACAGCTGATATACAGTACAGGACAAAGACTCATACAGGAATACACAGTGTGACGCTCTTTGACACAAATGGGACAAACCTTGTTTAACAAATGTAACGATAACAAAAATCACAAATAGCGGATGTGTAGAAATGGAACAGGTGTTAGTTTGAGTGCTTATTTAGTAGCTTGTTATATTGAGGCTGTAGCAACATACTTCAGCTGCACGTGCACAGTGCACCACAGTGTTCATCAGAAAAAGTGTGCATATAAATAATTATTTCAACAGAATGATAACCACTTCCACATTGACAGGATTATATGGCAACAGTTCCACAAAGTGGAATTCACCTTGCCATAGCCACGTGCTCAGACACCAGCTGTCAGCCAATACAGCATTGGGAAGAACTGGAGATAACATTATTCTGTCTCTGGGAACACTTGGACTTCTTTGCACATTTGGTGCCTTGATTAATTACAGCTTAACCAAGCGGGAACCAACTAAACCAATTTTGAAGAAGGAAATGTCTCTGAATGATTTTACATGTAGTCTCTATTGAATACTAATAGTTGGTTTAAACATTATCAGTCTGTCACTTGTCAGCATGGTGGTTAGGTGTCATCAGACCTGGTTTAACCTTTGAGAAGTTAACAGTTTCTCGGTATTTCCAAACTTTTCTTAGACTCATTATTCTTCTCCTAGTGCTTGTGCTTGTGGAATTCTATGTCTTTGTAAGTAGTGCTGTATTAAGTAAGCTTTTTCTGTTATAGTAATTGCTGTCATTTTACGTGTTGTGTTTCCGTGTGCTAATTGCAGTTGTTTTGATGTTTCACGTAGCAACGTCATGTATGCTAATTTGTTTTTTGCATGATTCTGTTTACAGTTACAATATAATAAGGAATGATAAGGATAAACTCCATTTGAAAAGAAAAGAAAGCCTTGTGTGGAGCATCAACCCTTTTATTTGTTCGCTGGCTGTCTAGTGTCACGAAAGTAGGCGTGTATCGAGGACAGCACACGGGTCGTTTCCTAACCGGAGGATTAGCAGTTTGATTCCCGGCTTGTCCAGTCAACATGTCGAGGTGTCCTTGAGCAAGACACTGAACCCCCAGATACTCCCGGTGATGTCACCGGTGTGTGAATGCGTGAGTGCTTGGGAGTGCGAATGGGTGAATGGCCGAATAATGTGAAAGCGCTTTGAGTGTGCTGTAAAAAAAAAGCATAGAAAGGTGCTATACAAGTATAAGACCATTTACCATTACACTATCGACTGCTTATAAAGGATGCTGATATTGAAATCAGTACACTTTGTACTTTAAAATAAGAATTTCCTGAACAGTCAGATGCATGTGTTTCGCTTCTGTTTTGGACACATGTTGTGAGTCACCGTATCATATGAGTACTGCAGTTTAGGCACAGAAAACGCATTGTGTTCAGCATTTATGAGCAGTTGTTCAGACGTTCTTACTTGCGGTAAGAGGAGTGCTGGTCCAGTGAATTGTAAAAATGCAGCTTGTTGCTGTGACAGTAAAGAACAGCTTGTTCCAGCACATTCCTAGATATCTGCAGGGTTCATGAAGTGTACTCATGAGGACATGTAGAACTCTTTCAATTTCAACAGTGTACAGTAAAATCTAGGTTTTTCACCAATTCAGTCAGCTCTTTTTGCTTTGTGATTTAGGGGATGGAGATAGATTACCAGCCTGAGGAATCAATTGTCTCTTCATTTGATGAGGACTCCGTTGACCTTGGTGACGTCAAAGACATGAGACTGGAGGCAGAAGCAGTGGTCAATGATGTACTTTTTGCCGTCACTGAAATGCATGTGTCACAAAGTCTCAACAGTGCGTCAGATGTGGCCTACATAAATGTGGAAATAAGAGAGGGCAATCGGTATTGTCTGGAGCTCACAGAGGCAGGACTGAGGGTAAGTCCCACTAAAAGTGAAACTCAGTGGTTTACTTTAATACTCGTATGTTTGTACTTTTAAGTCCAACCATGCAAAGTTTTACAATACATCACTGATTTCTACCCAAATAGGTGGTGGGCTATGCGTTTGATCAAGTGGACGAGGATCTGAGCACCCAGTATCATGAGACTGTTTACTCGCTTCTGGACTCGCTGAGCCCAGGTTACAGAGAAGCCTTTGGGAATGCTTTGCTCCAGCGGCTGGAGAGACTGAAGCAAAACGGACAGTAAAAAGGACCAAAATGCTGCCGAAGTTGTATGTGTGAAACAGGGGCTGATGGAGTTTAGGATATGAGCCAATCTGGTTAAATGTCATAGCCTATGTGACTTCCACTTGCCTAGCTACCACTGCAGTAAAGGGAACAATGCCCTGTCAACTTTGCTTTGTTCTCAATTTCATTGAATGACTTCATGTTAGTTTAGTGACTGCTATGGATCAGCTGTGTTGCAACATTATACTGTTGACTTTAACTGTGGAAAGATCCTCTAGCTTCCACGTTACAAACTTCCACGTAACTGTGCACATTAAGAATTTTGCACCTTTTGTACTCAAAATGATCTGAGAACAAAGCAAGTTAATCCAGATCCCACCTCTGCCCTGCACTAAAGCTGTGATCTGATAACAGGTATCTGCTCAAATATACCCAACTGTTATTCATCAGGTGTCGCAGTGAAAGAGCCAAAGCTATATTCTCTCTGTTTAACTCATATTCTGCCTTAATGACTTTTGGTTTAGGAAAGTACAAATAACTTTAAGAGTTCACTCATTTAGCATTGACTGGCTATCATCTTACATGAAGAACTACAGTGGGTATGGAAAAGATTCCCCTCTTTGAAAACATTTTGTTTCACAGCCTGAAATGAAAGCACACACAAACAGAATTTTTGTGGCTTTATTTACTCTGTGCAGCTTACAACATACAAGTTAAATAAAAACAGCAACAGCTCTGAAAAATCAAAAACTAGAACAGCCTGATTTGGAAAAGGATCACCTGCCTGCATTAATACTTTGTTTTAATTGCAGCCTTGAGTCTGTTTGGATACTTCTATACTTTGCACAGCTAGATTGAGTAATGTTTGCCTACTCCTCCTTACAGAATTGTTCAAGCTCAGTCAAATGGCATGGTGACCGCAGTCTTCAGGTCACTCCACAGATTTTCGTTAGGGTTTGAATAGTACTCATTTTCTCCATGTTGCACAATGAATCACACCTCAGGCTTGCATTTCCAACTCTCGCTATTGAAGTAAAGTGGCTGTGCTTGTAGCGTTTTACATACGTTTTGTGGGCTCGTTTGGTTCATTTGTCAGAACACAGCACTTTTTACAATATCCTGCGACAACATCAAAAGCTGCTTTAAGACTGTTTATTGTACATGTGATCTGGTTTTGATCCCAGTGTTCTGAAATTGTCTTTCAGAGAACTTGTTCTCTTTGTTATTTCTTGCTGCTGGCCTTTGCTCAGACCAATAAAATCTCAACTATGTTACACTTTTTCCTCCAGTCAAGTCTTGCTATTGAAGGCAATTTTGCCATCCAAAATCTTGCATCTGATGTTGCAAGGTGGCAAAACCCATACTTTCAATTCTGCTTTTGGGGACTCTTCATATCAGGAAAACCTTCTCACAGTATATCAAGACATGGGGAAAGCCAAAAGCCGCTCCTATTTTTTGGGGTGGGGGTAGACACTCAACTCCAACATTCATTCAAATGAGAATCACACAGTACCACATATTAGATGAATTTATTTGAATTTAATCCACACGGCTAATAACACGTTCAGTAGAAATAAAAGCTTTAGTAAAGAAAAGGCATAGTTTGTACCTTTTCTGACTACACAGCAGCCATGAAGACATTTGCATTTATTGATACAGTTAAGACAGGGTCATTAACCACATTATTTGACACCAGCAACAAAGTCATAGCAACATTAGCCATTGATTCATTTGTTCCAGCAGGATTTAAGATGCAAGTATAGCAAAGTCTTGCAAAAGTGAGACACATTTTAAAAAGATCAAATTGAGTAAAATTAGATGTTAACTATAATCATTTACATTCTACTTCGGTTTTTCATCAAGCTGCATCGCTTAAAGCCACCACATTTATCTGAGGTCCTGTTGCTGGTTTTGCACAATCTGAAGAGGGAACTTGATACAGAATAAGTCTTGATTGTTGGCATCACTCAGTTCCCACTTCACAGTCACCTTTATCTAGAAAAGCAGAAAGGGATTAGTCATTAACCAAGTGAAAGGAAGTATCTTTTTTAAGTCAGACCAAAAGAAGATAAATTATCATAAACTGAGGGAACATCCCAAATATTAGGGGAGGGGGGGGCAGTCATGTAACACTGACAAACTTCATCACAAGCCCAAGAACATGTCTGATGACTGTACATCAGGTAGGGTAAGCTTTGATGTTAATTCAACTTACAATGTCTAGTGTTTATTTTCAAGCCATTTTAATAAAACAAGTTGAGGGTTTTTTCCAGCTTGAAATGAGTTGAATGAGCTGCTCAGAGTTTACTCAGCACATTAAAAACTTGCAGCATGCATTTGAGAATCAGAACTCTTTATTGATAAACCCATTCATGATGGAAAATGTGTACACATCTGCAATACAGCAAGTCATGGTTGTTTCATAATAAGAAACACACAAACCATGTTGAAGGTCTACTGAATTCAGTCACTAACCCAACACAGTAATCGGGAGCAGCCAATTATCTGAATACTTCTGCCACTACTGCTTGTATCCGATCTTCAGAATGAAACCACATTAGGGACTAGCAAAAAGCCTGCGGCCAGTTTCAGTTTCTACCTGATGCAAAAAACTGGGAACTCAATATTAGCTGTGAAACTGTTTGCAAACTTGATAACTAGGTTAAAATAAACATCTTTAATAAACACTGCTGCTAATGTAGTACTTACTGTGGGATACTCAGGCTTGATGGGTAGAGTGGCCACATAGTGATAGATCTGCTTCATCTGGATTGGACACGTAACTCCTGACTTGCAGCCATCATTCTCAGGAATTGGGAAGGGGACGGGAATTCCTGCCACCATTCCGTAAACATATGCTTTGCTCGTCTCGCTCTGCACAGCTACAAGAGAGCAAACATGACAGTGAGATCAACGGTATTACTAAAGTAGTAGCCATTTCCAAATAGATGCAGCCCACTTACCACTGCTGAATGTCACATTGACTGTGTAGGACTGTCCGATGTGTAGCGCGCATGGCTGAACGTCACAAGGGGTAATGTCCACGATGAGCGCTTTTCCAGAAGGGGAGTCTGAAGTAAACATGAAAACATCCCATTTAAAAAAAAACACACCACACACACACACACAAACAAAACAAAAACACCACAAGACAAAAAAAGCTTAAATACTGCCATCATGTCACCTGTTAAATGTAATCCCTTTCCATTAGAAGGGACAAACATAGTAAATCCATGATTTAGTAAGATTATTAAAACCCAATTTCAGTCACTGATTACATTTTGAGGAATTAAAATGTGGGGAGGTGGTACAACTGTTCAAAAGCTACAAGAAACAAAAATTTGTCATGTACAATGAAATACTTCATGGCCCAACATGATTTAAAGTAATATGAAAGTATTGTTGGATTATTCATTGCAGCATTAGTAGAATGGACAACCTCAAGTCCAATCATGTCAGTGTACACTTTCAATAACTGAAAAGGGAAAGAAACTATTGTATGGCCTTACTTAACATTCAAACAAAAACAGAACTCAAAAGTCACAAAGTTGATGTTATATCTCCTACTTCTTCTTTATCTGAGAGATATCTGAATCACCCTGTAGTAATACTGCTTGCAAACCAACGATGATAAGGTGATGTTAGGGGGTAGGACTAGATAAGTCTAACTTCTTCCTACTCCGTTCAAGCATGTACTAGGTATAAGTAAATTGAAAATATTTTTGTGGACATGTCTGGAATTATGTGTGATTACATACTGACTGTTGTTACATGTTTGAAAGAATAAATAAAATCAAACCCAACCCTTTAAGTCATTATTGAAAGAATTTCACAGTTTGACATAATCTGAGGGTATGGAGCAAGTTTTCCAGAGTCCAGCAAGATAACCCTGATTATGTCAGCGGGGCAGGTGACAGACCTCAAAGCAGACAAGGACTTGGTTGCAGACAAGATGGCAGATTGTGACCAAGATTTGCACACCGCCAGCATCATCTCTGAAGTTGTCAACCTTTTCTTAAAGTTGTGTTATGGTTAGGGGTTAATATTAAACTTGCCATGGTGAACAACTTCCTGCTAAGATCACCAGCTCCCTGTCAGAGGTTGACAGTCTGCCATTGTGGGTAAATCTCAGTTCTCTTAACTGCATCCATATTTAATTAACTTGCATTTTTTTCCTTGCGTCTTGGTCACATGCAAGGAAAAAAAAGAAGTCTGATGAGGAAGGAAATCAAGTTAACACATCTATACATAAATGAGACCTCTGTCATCTGAAGTGTCCAATCACCAATTGACTTCCAATAAATAGGTGTTGATGCATAAAACATTTCACAAAAAAAGATACTTTCATGTCTCCTCCCCATAGATGTATCATAAAAGCTCATCAGTCCTAGCTCCTCCTCAAGGGAGGCTGCTGGAGGAGCGATGAGTGAGGATACACCAAAGTGAGGAATAATAAAATGAGGGAATTGAGATTCACCCCTGATATGCAACAGAGTTCCTTTGGGCAAATGTGGAGATTAGTGCTGAAACAATTACTCAGTTTACTGAAAACACCAATCATCAGTTTTTATAAATAATGTACAATCATTAGACTTCTACATGGCCGTTTGGAAACGCTTAACAAAACCAGTTTGATTGGTCAAATGAAACTTACCGCAGTCTACGAATTTCACAGGCAGAGCACAGTTGAGTCCAATCAGGCAGAACAAAACGATTAAACCAGTCCGGACATCCATGTTTCTTTCTTCGTGACCTTAAAATAAAGAGATATCCATGACCCAATCGATAACTTAGGTAACGTTAAACTTTTTAAGTGTTACCCATTAAAAAAAAAAAGCATCACGACTTGTTTATTTCCTCAAATGCCCCAAGTGTTAGAGTTATTAACGTTAACTACTATCTTAACACAGCGAAAAAGAAAGTCTGAATGCCTACAATACGATAAACAACCCTTACAATAACTGATATACAAAGATGTATAAGAAAGTCTGAAGGAACAACACATACCTTCCAAAGGCCTGCGTCAACTTCCGAATTTAGCGAACCAGCTAGCACTTTTATGTCACAATATCACGCGCTAGAAGTAACGCCCTTTTCTAAGAGAGATGGGGTTTCATTGGCCGAAATATAGCCTGTCAGGAAACATCCGCAGTGCAAAGATCCCGTCTCCTGGCTGTAATTGGTAGATCAAAACTATACAAATCAAACCATTTTTAAGGATAACCCCCATGTGGGTATTTAATTGGTCGATCTTACTGGGGGCAACATATAACCCGGGCCAGCGATGCCTGTGAAACAAAGCCAAGGTATTTTTATTCCCAATATCATCTCACCTAGCAAAGCCTAAATATCTCTTGATTGGCAGGTAAATTGATGAATCAGATGTACGTGAACTAATTTGGGCGTGTTTGTTTGAAAGATTACCATTTTAGCAAATAAGAATGCGATTGGCTCCATGGTCGTTCCACACTCCAGCGCAGCAGGTGGCGGTAATGAACCTTAAGTTAGCTTGCAAACCGCCAATAAACACCATATAAAGAAGAATGCGATCTCATTTTTGTTGATTTGCCGTGGGACTTGCTAAATATGTTATAAAGATGCCATTCGGAGCAATGATAACTGCGTCAATGTCGAAAGTATTGAGTCTTTTTAGGTAACATTTAGTTATATGCTGTATATTGGAGAAATAATAAGGATTGGCTACATGAAAAGTATAATCTGTAAAGAATCTCTTGGGGAAATTGCTATGTCTAGAGTTTTTGATAGCTAGCTATTTAGCAAGCTAGCCATTAAACCGTTTAGCCGTTAGGTGACTAGCTAGCACTAGGTCCAGTCACGTTTTGAGCCCTGCTGTCATACAATCTCGTCTTAAAGCAACGTTAATATTTTACAGGACGTCTACATTTCGGAACAACCTCAGTGTGATTCAGCAGTTACACCGGCTCCCTCAAAGCCCCCAGCCCCTTTACACAGCGGGGCTCCAGCGCTTCAGCAGCACCTCAACCCAAGATGAGACAGCGGTGTCAGGTGCTTCTGAACATAAAGTACACCTCACTGAGTCATGTCTGAAGGTCAGCAGATACTCATCACACTCTTCTCACATCTGAAATGCATAATTAAAAGGTATTTGCAGTATCCGTACATGTATGGAAAGCCAGGGAGGCCAAAAATGTATGATGCGGCTTCAGTGAGTAAATGTATGACCATTTGAGGATGTAGGTATATTCTTGGTATAGTGTTAATTTCTGTGATAAAATTCTAAGCAAGTTCATAAATCCACAGTCTGAGCCAGACAATGGAACAGCCACATAAAATCGCTACTCTATTATCTCAGAGCAAAGTCTTACATTATAGGGAGTTTTGACTTTCCTGAAGCACTGAGGCTTTGCAGCCAGTTGTCTGACCAAAAGATTCATTATGCAAAGCTTCATTTAACACATTTAGTGATATATACTAGTAAAGAATAATTCAGAGCAGCCATATCATAAATACAGCACTAATATTACTAAAGTGTTGCAGCAGTTTGTGCTGCTGCTGAATCCATTAAGTATTCTTACATCTCTTTATACTTTCACAAACTGCACTTATTATCACAGTAGACATTGCTTGGTATGACTTTAAATAAAAAGGGGTTCATGTAGGCAAGTGCTTAAAATGTGACTGGGGACTGAAAGTGCTGATGTACCTAAGAAAACAGCAGCCATCACTTAAATTAGAAGTGGTAACTTAATTTCAAGATAACATTTATTGCAACTAGTCTTAAACTGTTCAGAATTAAGCTTTAGAAATTAACTTTGACTAATGACTGGAATTTGAATTGGAATTATATTTGTAGTTATCATTCAGTGTATGTGAAATAGGACGAAACATGTTAATCTTCAACATCATCAATAGTTTGATTGCATTCTCATGAATTAAAGTGTCATTGTAATTTGTCAACAAACATTTGTAAATATCAAAAATGTAATAATGGAAAATCCAATAAAATCAGTGTCATTGCCTTTCAGCTTTGTGTCAATGAATGTGTTTAGTTGCATGCGATTGTTTTGTGCTTTGTCCTTGATTCATCATGTTCCTGCCCCCTCTTTAATCCAGAGACTAGGGGAGATCATGAAGACGGGTGAGTACCTGAGAATCCATGTGGAGGGAGGAGGCTGCTCCGGGTTTCAGTACAAGTTTTCTGTAGACCGTAACAAGAATGAAGATGACAGGTAATGCCACAAATTTTTCAAGACATTGTTTTATACTGGCCTCGCTGTTTTCATTATTGTCTGTTAATCCAGTCTGCTCTGTTCCCTCCTGCATCCGCTGTGCTCTGCTTCCAGAGTGTTTGAGCAGGGGGGAGTGGGCGTTATTGTGGACCAGGAAAGCCTCGAGTTTGTAAAAGGAGCCACTGTGGACTTCAGCCAGGAGCTCATCCGCTCTTC